GACAGCATGAAAGTTCACCACCAAAAAATTAAGACCATAAAAAGTAAAAATTGCAAATTTTTCAAGACATCTTCAGTCTGCAATTTTGATTAGTAATTATATTAGGGCTTCACAAATATTGTAACAATTCCTTGTAACAAGAAAGACCAATAGAACAGTATGGATTAATTTGTGATGTCAGTGGTTCTGTTTTTCAAATGGAAGGGCAGGGTTTTGCAATCTTGGAATTTTAATATTACCCCAGCATTTTCTGTTGTGTTTCTTTTTATTTAGTTGCATCTCTTGATAGGGGAAGGATATACAGTAGCTCACTTTTCTTAATAGCATGAAGAAATAACACATTAATAGAGAATCATGTAAAAATGCATATGTGACATGAACAAATTGAGAAAGACAATTCAACACTGGGCCAATTGAGATTGAAAATTCGAGACAGGGTCAATTTGAGATAAGGAAAAAAAATAACACATTAATAGAGAATCATGTAAAAATGCATATGTGACCTGAACAAATTGAGAAAGACAATTCAACACTGGGCCAATTGAGATTGAAAATTCGAGACAGGGTCAATTTGAGATAAGGAAAAATATGAGACAGGGACAATTTGAGACAGAGGGCCAATTCAAGACAGAGGTCCAATTTGACACAGAGGGCCAATTTGAGCCAAGGCAATTCAGTGACAGGGACACTTGGAGGACATTTAGAGTCAAGGACAATTTGAGGCTTGCCCAAAGCAACTCATCTGCACAAAAGATATATTTTTATACATACACACTTTCTGGTTTTCTTCAGATTCTTGGTGATTTTTAGGGCGTTTTCAATTGCACACTTCCTGGTTGTCCTCAGATCCCCCACTTTTTTTGGAAAATGCTTCTATCTCAAAATGTCTCATATTATCCCCTCCTCAAAATGTATCATATTATCCCCTCCTCAAAATGTATCTGCCTCCAGAAGTTTCTGTCTCAAATTGTCCCTGTCTCCAAAAATGTCTGTCTCAAATTTACCCTGTCTCAAATTGTCAGTCTGGATTTATCCAAGATCCATATGTGAATTCAAGTGGCTGATTGAATAATAAAAACTTCATGAAAAATCCCCCACATCACCTAACTTCATGCCAGACACATATCCTGGCTTTGACCATCCCAAAAAGGCCTTGAACATTTGATGTGTTGAGAGGTTGAATCATTATTGCTTCCTTGTACATAGACCAATTTTTTTAATTTTAAAGAATTGTGTGAAATCATTAGAGACCATATTTCCTCACATTAGTTCTCTACTTTCTTAAACACAGGCTTCTATTTTTGTTTCAGCCAAAATTAGTTTCAACATTTAAAATCACTCCAAATTTTCAGTTGCCAGTTGCTTATTTGTTTTTGGACTTCAGTTGCATCATTTTGAAAAGTTATGCAGATTCCATGAAAAAAAATTCAGTCATCATGAAGTAATGAAAATACAAGTTGAAGTTTATACAAATTTTCAGTTGCCAGTTGCTTATTTGTTTTTGGACTTCAGTTGCATCATTTTGAAAAGTTATGCGGATTCCATGAAAAAAAATTCAGTCATCATGAAGTAATGAAAATACAAGTTGAAGTTTATCAATAAAAATGTAGCAAAAAAGTTTGTATATGAAAAAAAGCCAGACAATGGAAATCCTGAAATCCTTTTTGAATTTGTGCTTAGAAAAATAGAATAGTTTCAACCATCCCTCGAATTACACAATATATTGTAAAATATTTCTTGTACCTTTTTCCTTTGTGGCCCGCATATAATGCTCTATTATTTCAATGTGGCCCTTGGCCACTTCTGAGTTGGGCACCACTGGATTAGAGTAAGGCTTGGTCAGAAACAACTTATTAATTTCCGACTCAAGAATACAGTATCTCCTGAACGGTTCAGCCTCAAGATAAATCTTAAATTACAGTTCATTCAATCACCTTTCAGAAGATTCAATTCATCTTTACAAGTTAATGTCGTTGGTGTCCATGTGAATGCAGATAAATTGTCATTAGAAGAAAAGGTTGCTTGAATCATTTAGCGGATGTCTTCGTTCAGAGATCAATTTGATTTTTCCCTTATATTAACTGTAGAATTGATATCATTTGAACACTTATGATCTACGAAAGTCATGAAGTGAGACTGGGGCCACACAAAAAAAAAGATATGCCGGTAGACTTTCTCCTCAACTACTTTGTCTAAAACGATTTTCTCTGCATAACGAATTCGTCTTCTGGTCCCATTGGTCCTCCACAATCCCACAGGGATCATGAAATTCTCTCTGTAACACTTTTTTCTGAGTCCCTGAATTTTGTTGTAGACAGGGAGTCAATCGATACTTGCAGCATGCTACAACTCTGACGTAATAGCATGTACATTACTTCGGAACATTCTTTTTTAGATTATCTGCATCTGTGAAGATGCACTGGACACTGTGTAGTCAATTCAATCCTATTAGCAATGAAAGCCTTTTCACGTCAACGGATTACTTCACGATATTCTTTACTGCAGTACTATAAAGTACTGTATTTAGACAAGAACCATGCAACCTCAAGCAGGAAGATTCACAATTCGATTTTTTCATGAAATTTACCCAAAAACATATCCTCACATAAGAACCACATCCCGGTTTTTGTTGCTTACAGATAAAAATTTTGTTGAAATAATATACAGTAATTAGAAACAAAACACTCCTGTAATGTGATGAAACAACGTAACGTATTGGTGCCAAACAAAATTTTCTGTTCATTATTTTCACTACAGACTCGCACCCAGATGGTTTAATAATTTTCTTTTCTTTTTAAATAAAAGAGGCATGGAAAATTCTGCCATGATTTTCCAGAAAATGTGTTCGTGGTACTTATGTGTAAATGAAGTACATTTTTGGCTTTCAGTGATCCTTGATTCTGTGAATTTCGCATTGCTGGCCATGGTCGTTCGCCCTGAGCTCAGTGGAATTTTGAAAATTGGAAAAATATCGATATAGCCAGTATTTATATACTGTATGCTGGTGTCGCCTCGAGACTTGTTCCCGCAGCAGAAACGCTGCTGTCGTTTCCGCGTTTTATGCAGCTTCCATAAAGCGAATAACCGGTCGCCGTTACGTATTGTGTGCGTTATTCTGGGCAAGCGGAGTGCCGAAGTCTGCGTGCTTTCTACTTTATTGTCTTCCTGCGTTGTTTGCACGGGGTGACGGAGGCAGTGTCGTAAAATGGGACGCTGGGGTTTAAAGCGACTGTCAACGGAGCCCGAATAGTTCGCGGCAGACGCCACATGTGCACGAATTCTATCAGGTTATGGCGGTGGCTGCGTTCAGAATGGAATGCATATCTCCGACAAGTTCGCGAGTTATCCCGGGTACTCCCATGAATAGCGCACGTAAAACAATATTGGTTTCTCCCCCTTCCGTCGTTGTTGCGGATAGTAAACGCTGATCAATTCTTGTCGTCGGTTGACGTGAGAATATGAAGCTCCCGCGAATTTTGTCGAACATTTCATGTCGCCTGGATGTTCGCGTCCGATCTAATGCGGGGAAATTGCCGACGCGCGAAAAGCTTCCCCTCGCATAAAAAAGTGCGCTTAACAACTAGCACGATTTGGTCCCTGCCTCCGCGAAGAAAGATTCCGCGAGGTTCTAACAACCTCTCATTGCATTCAACAAGCTTCAGTATTCACTACTGTATACTGTATGTCGTGCAGAAAACATTTCTGCCATTCCGATAGTTGAAGTCTAAAACTCGCGCACATTGTGACCGGAAGTACAGTATACAATCCCTGGATGAACAACAGTTGCGGATTTGAAATTACTGCATCGTAGTTTGAAGAATGTGTTACTGTATAGTGTCACATAATCAATTTAACTTGGTGTGTTACAACGCAAGCAAGTAAGCAGGGTACATTACTGAAGCTTCTAGTTCGAAGAGACATCGTTAAAAATTCAGAAACTGTAAATTCTTCTAGTTCGAAGAGACATCGTTAAAAATTCAGAAACTGCAAATTCTTCTAGTTCGAAGAGACATCGTTGAAAATTCAGAAACTGCAAATTTTTCGTCATATTCAGCAGGCATAGGAGTTGCTCTGAATCGTGCTAGAAGTATTATCTAACAACGAGCAGGAAGATATTTATAAATAAGTTCACATATTTTTACGACAGGTGTCGTTCTAATCTGGATTGGTTGTACTGTTGCTGGCTCAAACTGTGAACAGCAGTTGCCGGAATCTAAAATTATCTCAACAGTGTGTTAGATACTTTAACTTTAAAATTTTTGGCATCGTTTACCACTGACGGGCGATGATGCATGAATCAGCATGACAAATCCTTCCACAAAACCCTTCGATACAAGTAGAGTGACGCAATTCAGATCACAGTTATCATGATACTGTCATACTGAAGCAATTCTCAGGTTGCTTGGATCTAGAAAATTTCTCGGAATTTCCTCACGCTTTTCATTGTTACCGTACTTATCGAGAGAGCTAGAGGCTTTAATCAAACTAATCAGAACATCCTAACCAGTACTGCTGTTCTCTCTATGGAATTATTTTGAATTTGAAGCTGATAAAATTTTTTTCTCATACTACACTACGATTGACTCTGTATTTTGAGTACTGTACAATAATTTTCTCTGTATAAGCGAATGTTTTCGGTCCCATGAGCTTCTTTACCCTTAATATACGGTTTCTCTACAGCACAAGGAATTTTTCATCCTCGCCCCTTGAAATTCGTCGCAGAGGTGTGCATCCACCTGTATTACTAGATTTTAGCTGTCAGCACGGAAACAGTATTTTCTCAGCAAATCAGCAGCCTTTTTGTGTACCGATCAACTCTTTAGACATTTACGAACAATATTCTTTCAGGCCACAATAATTATAGAAGTCCGATGCGACGTCGAACACGAGCTCAATTGGAGTAAATGAGGGAATCTAGTGATTTCGATCAGAACGAACCTCATATGAGATCAGTTACTTCAACGTAAACACTTCTTCCAGGGATTGAATACGACAAGAACGGTATTTCAAAATATTTTATTTCATAAATGAGCATAACGCGCATGAATGCATTTTGCGTTCAACCTCATAGCGACACGAACGATGACGAAATTGCAAGGGCAAAACATAACCATCCCACGTTTGCATCCGGATCCGAGGTATTCAAGATCAACGTCACACCATGAAACAAGGAAGCATGTCAGGGGGCAGATGAAGACCTGCCGCATGCAGGAGCCGAAAGTTGCGGTGGATAGGACGGAGAGAGTTGGGAATGATGCCCAATTCGAGGGGCTACCCGACTCTCGCTAACGGAGACGGGAAGCAATGCAATGCACACCCAGGGGAATCGCTCCGAGATGAAATTTAAAAATAATCCAACGTCCGCGGTCGGATCAATTCTTAGCCTCGCACGTTTCCGCCAAAAGTGAAAAATAAACCCCAGGTACGTTGTACACTCGACGACGACGCGGAAATCCGAACAAAGCAAGATGCTCTCAATGTCCCTTTCTTGCTCACCGAGTGAGGTCACAGAGCTCATACCCAAATAAAAACAGAAACAACCGGTTACGATTCGCACAACAAAAAATTCCTCAAGATACCAGCACTCAGTTCTGGACGACCAAGGTAATGAATCGAGAACTCCTGGTCAATCGAAATTCCCCCGATTCCTCACGTCTGAAATTCGCTTTTCTGGCGCAAAATCAATTATCACACAGCAACGAAAAAAAAAAACAATCAAAAGAAACAGTTCAGGCAACAACCGAGAGAAGATGCGAGGTCCACCTGTCTTCTTCCATATGATTCCCGAGACGCGGCTGGACAATAAATATCGCTTCGCTATGTCTATTTCGCATTAATTAAAATTCTTTATCACAGTTCCTCAAATACCCAACCCTTGTACGCGAGCAGCAGGAGTGAACGTGCGCTAAACGTCACAAGCAGGGCACGAGCACGACAGGCAAGCCGTTTACAGTTGATCGCTAACAAAACCCTTATTTGTGTTGCTTAGTAAAACTTCAACCCGCCACCGGTTTCTCGCCCCGTTATTGCCAGAGGAAGTGAAGCATGGTCGCTTTTTAAAGCTCGTAAACATGAAGCCTCTTGCTCCGCGAGCCCAGCTCATTTGTTAGTACGTTCCATTGTCAACCGTCACGCATGATTCATGAGGAATTTGTGAGAAATCAAGCATTTGCAGATGGTTAACATGAAAAAACACTGTCGGCAGGCATATTGCATCAGGTACACATTCAAAATGCCAGAGATTCTCTGCCGACGAATCGCTTCAAAATACTAAAGTTGGGAGGGATGGGAGGCGTTGAAAAATTGGAATGAACGCGTTGTTTTTAACCTGCTCCCGTTCCTCATGCTTCATTGCATGATGGCATAAAAAAAATCCAAATAACTTATCAAAGTCATGGGCACCGCACAGGTAGGACTGATGTCATCCTCAATCTTTTCACATAACCGTAATAACTCCTTAGCTACTCTCAGGTCACAATTTTGCATGCCCAAGCGTGAGCGACGCATTGTGTATGGGCCAACATATGCACATTCTTTGAACAATTGGAAGTCAATAAAAAAACGCACAATCCCGTTAAAAATCAAAATGAAAGTGGAAGATCAAATCAGGTCCTGTTCTACTAATCGTATCATAACAGGGATTCATTCGTCTCAAACTCCATCTACTGAAAGCCCAAGAAAATACATTTGCTTCCCAGCGGCAGGGCAATGGAAAGACAAATATGTATAATATTGACTAGGCATAAACAAATTTCCAAATAATCTTAACGATCGCTGCAATTTATATTATTTCGATTGTCACACATTGCGGCTTTTCGGCAAATCCACAACTCTCCGATTCATTTGAAGCCGGCATAAAAACAGAAACATCTTTTTTGAGCACAAACAAGTCCACGATCATTCTCAACGCTACACAATACCCCGATCGGCGAAATAAGCGCAAAACGAAAAACCACTCCGAACAAGAGTTGACGGAAATTTCGAAAGAACGCTTAATGCCTTACATATGGCATTACGTTCAAGGTAAATTAATTTGTACAATTCCCATCGTCCGCAAATGAAAGCCTGTACCGAGCACTCGGTAACTTAAAAGGAAAAGTCGCACAACTCCGTCTTACTTTCTTTAAGCCGTGCAAACCAACGTTTCGAATTGACTAATATGCCCTATGATTACCAGAGGTAAAATTCCTACCTTAGAACGAAAACTTACGATCCTGCAAACTATCTGCTTCAAAATTATCAATCCAACCTGTCACCACGATGAATCAAACGGCACAGGTGGTGCCAGGTACGCATGCCGGCGAAAAATCTTGTGCCTTTTCTTCACCTAAAATTAAAAGCGAAGAACGGATATTGTTCGATTTCATGTTCTCATGAAATTTATTCTTTTCCTCCCACCGTAGGGGTCATGTGCATGAACGACTGTTTTGGACTTGCCATCGTCTCGAGATCCATGCACCGGAGAAGACGTGGAAACGGTCGAAGATGAAGTCACATGACTCGTTGACTGAACATCTGAAGACAAAATTCGTCGGTTCGATCTTTCTTCTGGGCCGCCTAAAAAAATTACAACGTGAGCAGGCGATCTTTTTCATCCTAGTCTGGCGAATTTTAATTGAATACTTTCCCCGTAGTAAAATTAATTACTGGACGCTCATGAAAAGCCAGCTATATACTCTTTCCAACTTGAATATTGTAACCTGGACAACTGATATACCTTAACCAATTGTAATACTTGACCTACAGTCAAACCTCAAATTTAGAGCTATCATTTATCCTGGCACATTTTTGGCTATTATACAAGAAGGTTTAATTGAGGATCTCTACTGCAAGCAAAATGAACTTGTTTACAGATTCGTTGAGCCACTGAGTTTGTTTTATGAAAGAGGAAGTCACAATCTATTTTTCATACTGCATTCCAGCATATTCAATTAAATATTCGATTTTTACGCTAGCCTGTATTGATGTCTAGTGACAGACCTTTTTCTTGAAATTTTACATTTCATAGCAAGTGTCATGCAGAAATCCTCAATTTTTCCAGGAATGCTTCCACTTGAACTTCCAAGTTTTCAAATATTCAATAAAGGAAAGTTTCATTAGACCACGAATATATTTTCAACTATGTAAACAAAGACAAAAAATGTAAAAAATTATCCCGATTTTTTTGTGAGCGTGGACACGTGATTTTCAGTGGAATCTCAATAACATCTCTAAATAAAGCCTCAACTTTTTCAATTGTGGTCAAATATTCATCCAGGATATGGCATTTTTGTAACACTTAGTAATAAATCGGGTTTCCACTAAATAGTGGAGGGAAAATTGTTCCCATATTATGAGGGGGAGTAACAGATTAAAGGTTGACTTAACTTAGTTACTAATCCATGAATAATTCCAAATTCGGAAATTTATAGATCCTTGAAAGATAGTCTACTGACACTCCAAAAAATATATATAAACTAAGATACATTACAATTTTCTTCAGAATGTTCCTCACCATCGCCTCCGAAATTGGACGAAAAATCTGAAGTATTTCCCGGAGTTCTTGGAGTGAGATTTCCACTACTGTTTGCCATCAATTTTTGACGAACTTCTCGAATTTTTAGTTGCAGACAATACTTGGTAGGAAACACATCCAAATGTCGCTGATGAAATGCCGTTGTAGCTTGGGCTATTGTTAGAGTAAAAAATGATCTGTAATTCCGTTTACAGTGCAATAATTCATAATCCACAGTCTCACTTGTCGGGTAAAGGCCTTGTTCGCGAAACAATTCCATGACCAATTGCCGCCGTTTGTCAAGTGTCTTTCTTAAACTAGAAACATTTCCGGATCCATGACCCTGTACCTCACTGCGAGGTGTTCGCGGGGTAGCCGGAGACGTCAAATTTGGAGAAATAGGATCAACATCATCAGGTCTTTCATTGTTGTTTTTAATGGATTCTGGATTGAAGTCAGGACCGAAGAAGGACTGTCCGACAAGTTTGGCACTCATCGTTCCAGAAGATGGTTGAGGGCTCGGAGAAACCGGTGCTGGATCTGCACTATCCTCTTCTGAAAAAAATAAAAAAAATCCCCGTCAAATCCAGCCGATACTGGGTAAGTATAATATTAACAAGCAATCATCTAATATAGCTCACTATTCGAAAGAATTTATTTTTTATTTTACAGCCTCAAACCAACATATGAGTTAAAATTTATGAGGCACAAAATGATTCGCAAGACGTCCAAAAATCCTACGCAACATTCCAAGGCGTACCGATACCAATTCGAGCACCGAAGGAAATTATTAAGAATGTACTACGATGATAAGAAAAGACACCGAAGTCGAAGGTCAGTAACACATTCAGAAGACTGTAAGTCAACTACAACTCTAAGTATAGAACTTACTTCCGCCTCTACCTTTTTTCCGATAGCTTTGAATGAGAATGCGTGGGGATGAGGGCAGAGAGAGTGGTGGTCCCGGGCTAACCTGACCCTCGGAAGGTCTAAATTCCGGTAGAGAAGAGAATTTTTCTTGAAAATTGACCTGCTCAAGCACCCTGCGGGAGACGAGAAAGAAAGACAGATACGTGAAAAATAGTTCATTAAGCCCGCTTCCGAGTGAAAATCCCCAACAACTTTCAAGGAAGAGAACTACCCAAAATATTGGCAAGAAGGAAATGTCGAACTTACTTCTCCATACCATCGTCCATGGATTTTTTGAAGAAAACACCTTTTCGGGGAGATCCAGTTTCCAGATCGTTTGCGGCATCTTCCTCCATCTCACCGTCATTCAGAGAATTAGAAGACACCCCATCATCAGGACTATCCAGTCGACCTTTTTCATCTGAATATACAAGTTTATTCAGTCACTTCAGGTAATTTAACGAATCGCCCATTTAAACGTGATCATACCTTGAGACTCTATCCTACGCCTTTGCAGAGGAGCTTTTCCTAGCTGAGCAGGTGTTGGAGCTAATTTAAGAACACCTTCAGCCGAAATTTCCGGAGGTTTTCCTTCTTCAGGATCATTCGTGCAAACCTGTGAACACAGATCAGATAATAACTAACTAAATAATCAAAGTTTTCTAAAGCAACTGATCAGTACTGTACTCGTGAAAATACTTTCATATACTTGAAAATTTTTTCAGAAAAATATTTATATCCAGTATAACTAACTTTTTCGAAAATCCAAATTCTCCAGGCCATTCCAAGTCCAAATGTTACACTGACTTTTGTAGCTTGGATGAATGAGAATTCGTTAAAAAAAGCTTCCACGCATCATTCCCCCAGAATGAAAAAATTTATACGTGATGTAAACTCAAGGGATTTTTTTCCAGAAAAGCACTCGGTTTTTTTAAACAATTATAGGCAAATAGAATGCATGATTTTTTCCAAATTTCTTTATAACATTTATTAAGTTTTAAAACCTTTTCCAAAATAACAAAGTTAGTTCTACTGAATTTTTTTGCACACAGTAGAATACGGTTGTAACTAATTGAATTTCTGGTCCCCGTCCAGTAGCCACAATGTTCTTCTAATTTTCGTCTTTAACGAAGCTTTTTGAGGAATTAAACGCTTCACTGTAATAATTGCATATGTTATATTTTCAACTGCAGTTCAGTTGAACATATAAGCTCGGGCTACTGAAAAAACCAGTACAGTATTCACAAATTTCAAGCTAACATTAATTCCATTGAAAGTCCATAATTTCATTACAACAGCCGGAAAACACTTTAATTTACATTGACAGCATATTAGGGATGAACGTTTGAATAAAATTGGTCAAAATAATGAACAGTTTACTTTGACCTTAAGATAAACAACGAGGGAGAACAATCTTGCAAAAAGAAAACACTTCACTGAGAGGAAAAAATTTGGTGACTTCAGACATCATCTTAGTACATCATAGTAAAGTCCCTACATTCTGGAAGAATGATAAGTGCAACTACTCGGAAACATATGTGTCATTAATAACAAATTTCTGTACCTGACTTGTCCGGGAAATTTTACCTGAAGAATTCGAAATTCCTTGGAAACGTTTAATCCACTAATTTTAGGAAGATTGTTACTAATTCTATGAACTTTCTGCCAAAACTTGATAAAAAATTTTAAATATGTAACATAATTCTGGCAGTTTATGGGCAGCATATGAAGGCATGCCCTACAACCTACCTTCTTATCAAAGATAGAAAAACTAAGTATTCGACCTCAGTAAAAAAAAAGTCCCCGCATAAGAAACTAAATTTCAACTCTGTTTTCCACAAGAACAATCTTAAAAAAAATTGGTGATTACCAAAGAAAAGAAAAAGCACATTATCTTTGAGAAACTAACCTGCTGCAATAAATTCTATATTGTTACAAATTTAACCCTCACACCCACAACTAATTCTTCCAAAATTTCAATTTCCAGAAATTTTATTTCTCAAAATATTTCAAGTCAAGTTCACCTTTTAGCACCCATCTGGCAGATTTAATTTGTACGCGAACAACTAATCCAGAATTTTTTGTAATAGACACGGCATTAATTCAAAAGGTTACAAATGCCCCATGGGATGAAAAATTGGTTCGGTAACGGTTTAATGTCGGAATGACCTTGCAAGAGGTGAGGACAACTATTTGAAGGGGCACCATTTCAATTCTGACGGAAGTTGCTGGCGTAAGAAAAAAAATAAAAAGGTGCTATTAATCGAGTTCGAATAAAAAGGTAGGGTAATACAGTATTATCAAGGTAAAGCAGTGAAAGTTCACTCACTTGTATACTTTGTTGGGCAGCTGGTATAGTGACGGTAGCCGCTTTAACTCTAAAAGTTTGCAAAGTGGAAATAGAGTTCGAAGACGTCTGGTAGCGACGAGATGTTCCCGGTGACACTAAGGGGCCGTCTTCGACTTGATGACCGACGGCGTTAGTTCTATTCTTCGGAAAGTGATTGGATCCTGTCGGCATAGAACCTGATTCCTTTCCCTCTCCTAAATGCGCGAAAAACTCGATGCTCTTTCCACCATTACCTGAATGAAACGACGCAAATAAATTAATTATTTTCCTACTGGTAAATCAATATTACTATACCTTGTAAATTCACATTTTGAACTTTCCCACTCGAAAATGAAACTACAGGCATTGGATACGACGAGTTTCTTTGAAGATTTTTGATACCGGTTGATGACTGTTCCATTTTGTTACCCAAAACCGAAGAATTCATGCTTTGCACTCGGGTTGTCATCGCTGGTACCAGTACAGCTTTAGAACATTTCAGGTCTGAGTTGGACGACATTTGGGCCCCCATCATCGAAGTTGGAACTAGAATCATTCCTTGTGGTTGGGACATGCTCACACGGGCTGGATTATCCGCAACTATTATTCGACCTACGAAAAGAAAATTGATGAGCATTCATACCATCCTTTTTGGGGAAAAAAATTAATTCGAATAAGAGACGCGTCCGGCAGCTAAACGACAATGAGTTCTTTTAAATTACGTGGAATGGCGGCGGTCATTATGGATGAATAGGTACGCCAAAAGAATTTAACGACAACCAAATTGATCACCAGATCGCTGAAATATGGTTCTGTCATGAATCAAAGTGAGTACAAATGGACAAGAATCAAAGCTAGGCGAGTCTGCAAATGCATAAAAACATTATGATCGGTGAACGACGGATTGTAAAGATTCCGATTTGTGAAGACGTGTTGCAATTTTCTTTGATGCAAATAAAACACCATTTCATTGTCTTGAACTTCGATCATTTGCCTACCTAAATAATGACGAAGCTATTTGAATGAGAATGAGGCATACCGAACTACCTAAAAAATAGAATTTTTAGCCCAAAAGAAAAAAAAAAACCCCGGAGTATAAAATTTTAATGCGAACATATTTTTGATACAATCAACAAGTAAAATTACCACGCGTGTAAAAATGATAATATGGAGAAGGTCATCGCTTCACACTTCAAATGGTATATCTGACTGTCTAGAATTGAGAGATTTCTATCTCACCTTGACTTTGAGGACTTCGCGTCAATCCGCGATCTTGAGAACCGCTAGCCGCATACACAGTCTTGTACATAGGTTGATTCTGGCTCACTGACATTGGCACATTTCCAACAAGACATATGCTGGATGCCTGCACATGATGCGTAGCCCCTGGTGACTGCGTAGAATCCGCCGCATAGTTCTGATCGCTGAATTGTGACGTAGGAGCACTTGATGTCACTGTCGCCAAACGAGGAATATTCAACGTCCTCGGCGACGGAGGCATTGATTTGAAGGCACTAGCTCCAGTTCGTCCCGTTCCTCCCGGAGAAGGCAATTTGAAAGAAAATCTCGCCGAAGGTGAAACGGGTGAGGACAAACCAGTCGACATTCCGAACTGATTTCCATCTCTCATCAACACCGACGGTCTGCGAAGGGAAAGATCAATTATGCGTCAAAATGAAAGGGTGCTCCTAAAATAAAACGAAGATCAGAATAACGACTTCGCTGTGGAGCATTTTGAACTAAATTTAGGACCCTTCCAGACTATAAACAAGGACACTATAATACACGTTTCCCGTTTTTGGTCATGACATTTACCTTCCTTTGATCGGCTTCGGTTTATGCGTTCCTTCCAAATGTCGGTTACCGGAAATCAAAGGACTGAACCTTTGTTGCGGATAATGAAACACAGCATCCGGTGCATGCGTTGGTGCGGGAGGATTCCGATTGACGCCAGTTGATGACGAAGGTTCATCCTCAAACTCATTCGCCGAGTCCGGTCCTTCCGTCTCAGAATCGGACGCCGCAACACGCTCTTCACATTTCAAATCAATGCTGATATTCTGCTTTCTATGAGCAGACTGCCCTTTCTAAAGCAGAAAAACCGACATTATGCATAGAAAATGCGAGGAAAAAATCATCGACTCACGTTGTCCACAGCATGTGCAGCATTCCACGAGGTGGAACTGGGAGGGTTACACGAAATTTCCACCGCGGGTGGCGATACCGTGGAAGATGGTTGATACGCTTGCATATTTGGATAAAGCTTCGCAGCGCGAAGAATATAATCTTGCGGTGGTTCCGGTCCCTAAGAAACACATGAATCCTTGAAATTACGCGATACTGGAAAATACATCTTTTCTGCATTAAAACGCACCCCAAATTTTCGCCCAGCGGACAAATCGAGGCCCTTTCCTGGATCGCGTGGAATACCATCCTCGGAATAGGAGCCTCCTGACTGAAGCCGTGCATCGGATGTGATAACTTCAGCGGGAAAAAAATTCCTGCTCGTCGTGCCAACACCTAAGAACACGTTCAAGGCTTGATATAACGTTAAATAGTTCAAATAGACAAGGATGGAAAAATGAAAGCGCTTTCCCGAAGAGCTGAAAAAAATAGTACTGGAAAATGTATGCTTAATGCCTTGTTTATTACCAGGAGTAGAAGGTAGGGAAACATTTCCGGCGATTGCAGCCTCCGCGTATTCATCAGCCGAACACATGCGATTCCGAAAGAAATCACGATCGACTTTGTCTTTCAAAGGTCCTGGCGGCCCACCAGAAGTCGACGACTTTCTTCGTTCTTTCGAACACCACTTCCACTCCGGGTGGGCCTTGAAATGCGCTTCCTTCACCTGTAGCGACGAAAGATGAATGTCAATGTAATCCCAACAACATCATCGAGAATGTCAATGTAATCCCAACAACATCATCGACAACATTTACCTGGTAAGCAAGATCGTGATACTTTTTCTTTTCGTCCGGGCCCAGGGCGTACCACCATTCCCCGAGAATTTTGGAAACGGTGCGATTGTCTTGGTTTGGATGACGCTGATGGACCAGTGGACGATGCCTCTTGGAAAAAATTATGAAAGCATTCATGGGACGGCGAATATGATCCTTGTCCTTTCCCTGAGAAGACGGAACGCCATTAAGAAGTGCTCCTCGACACTCGATAAAGCTGAATTTCACCTTTCTGGGACTCTTCGGCTCGTCTTTAGCATTCGAATAGGATGTCTGGTGATTCGGGACGGAGGGATCAGATTTCCGCTTCCCCAAACGACAATCGCTCCCCATAGACTCGTCACTAGGTTCGAAAACGTCATCGTCTTCGTCAGTAACAACGTGCATGTGAATGTCGTCGTCCGGAGCGTCGTCGAAGTCTTCCGGGCCATAAACGCCGGGACCGTTGTGCTTAACGCCTTGTTCCTGAGCCGGGGCATGCAAAGCAACCGGCTGATCCGGATGCGAAAGCATGCCCCGGGCTTCCCCGTTTGGGTTACCATGACCGCTGACTGAAATCGTCGTCACCGTCGCGCCAACCAATCTCTCCGTCTTCAGTGCTATCCCAGCTTCACTCGTGGATTTGTCCATGCTTACCATGGACGGCCCTAAGAAGAATGAATTCAATCGTTACCCAAGAAGTCAAGCAATTCTCAAAATTCAAAAACTTCAAGGTTATTCTCAAATTGACATCCAGAGCGAGCAAGATTTTAGCAACATCCTACAAAACACTCGGCGCAGGCTCTACGAATACGCCGTTCAGTCGAGTTTATTGGAAGAAGAGCTTGAATAACCAACACAGCCGCGCAGTGAATTACACAAATTACTGAAAATCTTGATTTTTAAAAATTACTGTGCAGCTATAAGTCGGTTCTTGAAATTACTAAAATCCTCAAATTAATGGAGAAGCACAGCGTTTTTTACAGGCACCAGATAAAACTACAAAACAACTGAAACAACACTCAATCCAATGCCATCGTTCATCCAAGGACATCTCTTGGTACTAAGCGACGATGGAACATATAGAGAGGAAGATTTTTTCGGGTTAAAATTGTTGCATGAAGTGAGGGTGGCATTTCCGGGTCGTTGAATTGAGTGTTGTTGTAATTGAATTAATAGACTCACCAACAACGGGAGAGCCAGTAGCAGTCCTGACTGAAAGACCAGCGTAATCCACTCCACCGCATTCACCTTCAATCTTATGTGCACTCACTCCAGCATCCATAGAAAACGGATGCTTCTTGCTCTCGTTCTCATCTTTTCCACCATATCTCTCGATCGGAACGACAAGGTGTCCCGACCGTGTCGAAACACTCGATCTTCCTTGGATCAAGTAGATCGTTTCAGAGGTGTGACAGCCTGGGGTCACGATTTGGACCTGTGCCGGCGTTTTCACCATATTTTGGCCAGTGCCGCACATGTACATGGGCACCGGTCGATGTTGTGAACCGACGGGAATTAGATGTGCATGAGTATGAGGCGCAACAAGCGCTTTGTGCAACAAAACGGACTGTTCTTCATCGTGGCTGGCTCCTTCTACCGATGCCTCGATGACAATCGGACGTTTAATCACAGTTTCTCCAGGCTTCGCAACCTTTAGTAAAAAGGAAAAACGAAAGATCAGTACAACATTCATGAAAAGAATAGGACGCATCCACGCACTTGACTCATTCCGATGGGAGAAAAGCCTCCACTAACGGAGTGACTAGGATTCGACGTCTGACTCCCCATGTGAGCATGGATCACCGACGTGTCAGGTGGGCAACGGATGCTGGTCGCATCAGAAACCATTGGGGCTGGTCTAACCAGCTCCGGTCTGTCAACGAAAGTCATAAAAAAATTCAAGATTTCGTTTAACCACACAAACGAGAGCAAAAATTATTAACGGTCCAACAGTGTAATAAATGTACGCCCTAAAAAACGATGGAGAAAAACGAAGAACGTTACAGCCTTCGGTTGGCTCCAAGAATAAAAAAGTCTCATGATTGGAAATATTGAAACTTGGCATTAAAGCTTCGGCCAATGCACATCCCGGCAACTACTCCAACGCCATACGCACCTTTTTCCTAAAAATCGTGCAAAAACTTTTCTGCGCATAATAATTGAGGAAAAGTTACGACACGGTTCAAGCGAATTTTTTTTACTAAACGTCTCGATGAGGATCATGGCTCGTTTACACAGGAACGTGTAGCATTCGAGAAAACACGGTAATCGCTCCAGAATGGGGAAAAGGCCATCAGAGGAAGCAGAAAGAATCAGGAAGTGCAGAACTTTCAGCTCTACCTACCGTACAACATTTTTTGGACCCGGTGAAAGGATGAGAGCTTGATGTCGGCTGGACGGTGACCCGAGGTCAGATGGACCACTCCACTGCGATGTTTGTCCCAATCCAGAATGTGCGGAGTGTTGTGGCGGGGGCGGGGGAGCGAGTGGAACGGAAACGTAAGAACTGCCCGCAGAGCCTGGTGACGAACCGTGCTGTCCATGACTTGCATGAGCCTGACTGATCGGCAAAAAGTAGTTCTGGTGAGGAGGCACTGGATGAGAGCCGAGCGGTGAATCCGTTCCAGACAAGCTTTGGTACGCAGGAGTTCCCGATCGTGAATTCCCCAAAGACACTAGATTGAAAAAAGAGAACAACATGATGCTTAGCCCACAAACTGACAATGAATTTTTCGACGAACTACAAGGAGGAATTGAATAAACACGGGTCCAGAAGCTACAAGCATGCGTTTCATATCACAATATCAACAGCTTTCCCTCGAATAAATGCATGCTTCATCACTCATTTTTTAACCTCCAACAGAGCTCTTTCGGTTTAATACACGAGGCCGAGAACATGATAAATAAATCGAATCCACTCAGCCTTCAGTGTTTCTAATTCAAAAAATAAAATAAAAAATAAATAGGCACCAGAAAACAAGACTCTTGAAACTGTGGTATTCATGCAAACTAAGGCACCCGTAAACCTCATTCCAGGTGGTACGCGAGTGATGCGAATGTGAAGCTGGACTAATCAAGGATTGGCACGTACACTTCGAAAAATGAATATACATTGGAAGCAAAAGTGAATGAAATATGAATTGAAGACAACGACGTTGATTCAAGAGTGCGCAACTTTGCAGTCGGTATATTCCGTATAAAATCCTTCAAGTCGCTCGCTGTATTTTACACGTTATACAATACAGTAACCCAGCGATGTCTTAAAATTGGTAAATTACGGTGCAAAGGAAGATTGAAAAGCCCCAGGACACAGAATTAATGAATATTGCTCGCAGATAAGATGACAATTTTAGACCCAAGTTCGTACTTATCCCGCTGGTAGAAAACAAGTTAGCGTTTTTATAAACTGACGTAACAACAATAATGAACTAGCTTATGCCAAAAGCTAGAAAAAGCCAGGAACAGATCAAGCTCAACGATTACAAAGACTGCTGAGTGAAAAAAAATGCAGGAATCGTTGCCTTGAATAAACCAGGGGATACATTCCAAATGAAGTGTGGAACGTTTCGAAATTGCCGTAGAACTCGTGAGGTCCAAGCAATGGTTTGTAGATTCAAACGAATGAGTCTTACCCAGAAGATTCGCAGCTTCGGTTTCCTCTTGATCAAAGCATCCAGTGAGGCGGTTGGTACCTTGCTGAGATCGATCGGAATAACCTTGCATTTCCGCATCCCAGTCACCATCATGCTCCTTCGACTTCCTGCTTTTCGCAATAGGCGGCAAATTAAGCATTTCCTACATTCCCATTCAAAGCGGGTAACTGACCTTTGCGTGAAATTGACATTTCGCGGGGAGGGTCCCGAACTAGTTCCGCTCGATGTAGGCAACACAGACACGCCAGCCTGCGCCCCGTGGCTGGAAGCGTTCGTCGCCGTGGCGTCAGCACCCTGGGAAGATTGGGGGTGGGAAGCACCACCACTTGTGCCAACGCCTTTCCCTTTGACGTTCAAGTGACGAGAACAGTAACCCCGGCGCTGAGATTCCTTCGTGCAGCCATCTTTGGAGCACAATCTTCTCCATTGTTTCCCGTTGAACTTCTTCCTGATCCCACTGGGTGTCTTCACCACGTCACCCTTTTTGTACTTATGCGGTGTCCCCAGGAGGGGTCTGTCAACAAATATTACCCCGTTCATGAAAATCTTCCCCAAAATTCAATATAAAAACAGGCGTACACGCAGCGAATTTCAACGGATCTCGGATTCACATAGAACTTCCCCGGATGAAACAACGTCGAGGCTTCCTAACCACTAAAACAAAAAAATAAAATTCCCAAAATTCTACAGAGTGGTATCGGAGAACCTCTGCACAACAATAAAAGAAAAGGAGGCCCCCTGAAATTGTTATGGACCTTTGTTCAGATAGCAGATCAAAGTGCGTAATTCTTTGAAATTTGTCATCCAAAGCAGATATTCAGCCGATAGGGAAGCAACTGAAATCGACACCGAACTATTCTAGACCAAATTAGCAACTTCCTAATATAAAAAATCCCCCACTCGGGATAAATATACATTTTTCGAAGTAAAGCTTATTTCCATAGCCACGAGTTCCGACGCATATACGGTATCCTCTTCAACGACCTCACCTAATTTCCTTTCTACTGGTTGCTATGCGTTCAGATCTCTCGTAATCGGAGGAAGCTTTCTGGATGAACTCTCCAAAATTAAAATCTCGAACGAGATTTCAAAAAAAAAAAAAAATGCACCAGTCAACAGCTAATGCAATTCGGTTTAAGCGAAGCAACGGCTCCAGCTCCAGGTTACAACTCCTCGCCCATCAGACATCGAGCGCTCATCCCATCATTCATCACATGCACGAAATGTTTCCACGAGATCCTCGTCAAACCCCCCTTGGCCAGGGAAGCGAGTATCGACCATCCATAAATGCCAGACCACGCGAAGGCCGTGGCAACCTGGAACGGTGTGAATCACCGCCATTCCGGAACTCAGTCAATGGGCTAAGATAAAGCAGACGTCGAAGCCGGAAGATAAGGAGGGAGGGCGACGGAGGCGAAGTGTAACAAATGTAGCCCACGAAGAGCGCAGTCATGACGTGCTCTAAAGACAACCAGCGCCTAAATAATACTCGCACTGACGTCAGCATTTTTCGCATCCGACGCAGTTTCATGGTGCGTACGCGTGGCTCGTACACAGCGCTAGACTATTCGGCACCCCACCACTCGACCGTACGCTACACGAGGCGACCGTATGAAGATCCGCGACCGCGGAAGCGTGAAAACGCATCCAGATTCTCCTGCTTCCGCGCCCACCCAACAACCACAAACCCGGCTGAGTCTTCGCGTATTATAATTAACCCTCGCTTCAGCTAATATGAAACAGTTAAATCTTGTTACAACTCCCACAGTAGAATCACTTTACTACGAAGCGTTTCGAACCTTGAAACAAGCTTCAATCTGAACAAAAATAAAATTGCGGTTGTTGAAAAGGGAACAGAGAAAGCATTCGCTGTAAAAATTAATTTGTTCTGACGAGATTCGTTACATAACGGAATTCTACTGCACATTTGAAAAACATTTTGCGGTATTGTAGAAACAATTATTTCTTGAGTCCTGAGAGAAAGCCCATGCTGAAACAATCTCGTTATAACACACATCTTCCCAATTCCAATACTGTACACTGCAACAAACTTTTTTGAGAAATTTGCAGTAGATTTATCATGTAGAAATTTCCTGAGTAAGGCAGGCAGGCAAAATCTAAAATTTCCAATCCCATATGTCACAGGCTGGTACCTGTAGCCTGGATGTAAGCTGTAATCAATGACAAACATGCTTCCAAGTGGTTGCACGCACCATCCGACCAAAATGAAAAGAGTTTCACATTATCTTCCCAGATTGAAGAGATGGGTGCAACTGATGGAATGCATGATAAAAGCTAATTTTTTTCAGAAGACCACTCAATTTTTCAAACAATAATTAAAAATCTGTGAAAGTCAGAAACGCAAGATGCAATTGATTATTGTCAGGTCTGATGCATAAAATAAATTTTCCACTCATTAATTTTGAAAATCTAGTTCAAACAAAAGATTCAGTATAACAAGAGAGAATGTATTCGTGGAGACCTCCTATAATGTGGGGAGAGAACCCAATAGGACCAAAAAACCGTTACACAGGTACAGAGAAAATCATTATAGAATGAGTCCACCTGCATCACCAATTTTACCTTACCGTAATATTTTATTTTTTCCCCAGAAAAAAAAATGCTGGTAACCCTTACTGTAAACTCCATCACGTACATTTTTGGGATCCTCTGAGTTCAACTTGAAGAGATTTGACGGTAATATGATCCAATTTTTTTCAAATTATCTCAGCGTTTAGGCCATACCACGGATGACCGGTTGCAGGACTTTTCGGTAGCTAGTGTATCCGCAAGGCCAGTCGTTATGCTCGGTTACACTTAAATACGGCAAAGCAGCTGAAACTAGCAGAGTTCCCCAGACATTTCAAATGGAAATCACCCAGGTAAATTCCTTGGTGATCATTTCACAGTATGGGTCCAGTTTCGCGTCAGACAATATAGCTCGAGACTGTTCGCACGGTGGTGAGAGTCGAGTGCGGATTACGGGAGTTCACTCATTCGCACACACTATCAACGGAACAAAGGCAGGCGGTCGATAACGGCGCAACCGCGCAGCGTTACTAGCCTACTCGTAATCACCCCAGGCTACACCTTCCGGTCACACTACGCTTCCAACGCGCGATAAATCGCGAGTCCAAGAAAGTTAGTACTTCTGCACTCGCAAAACTCCACGTGCGAAGCTTTTTTTTTTTTCGGCACGGAATTTCTTCGGAAGACGCGAGATGCCTGGATTAATGCAGATGATACAGCTCACAACACTCCGGCTTTTTGGCCATGAGGAAACCGCTCCCGGAGGGAAAATCCCCAACGAAACGGTACCCGCGACAAAAAAGCCCCAAAGGAGAAAACCGGGGTGTAGGACCTACAGGTGAGAGCGTGATGGTCGGTCCCTGCACAGATTTAGACACACATGGACCAGACAAGTCTCACATTAAAAAAAATAGAATCAGTGCATTCCTTAGAATTGTTGTTGCGGAATCTATATTCCTTTCTTGTAAATACATGTGGACTCTCTGTGAAACAATCTTGTCTAAAATTTTCTTGGCATAACGAAAATTTTGATGGTTCCAGAGGGTACTCTACAGCGCATCTTTCTTTGGTCCCTTGAATTTCGTTGTAGAGCCATCCTGTATTGGTTTGAATAGTGTGTTCCTGCTACAGAATTATTTTGAAAAAACACTGAAAATGAAAAATAATCTTAATAAAAATAAACACTCGTCAGTCAACAATGGTGCTTTCACCTGCTGTAAATACCACCTGTTAAACCACATATAAAATAAAAGGGACCATCACACCCTCACCCATTGGTCCTGTCCACCCGCCACCCCTCCGGCACTTCTCGTTGTGGATTCCTCTTATTACTTCCTCCCTCGTCGGGTTCCTTTGCGTTGGGGACATACTGTATTCTTGCGGAGCCGAGCGAACAGTTTTGAGCTGTTTTCGACTAAAATTACTTCGATTAAAAAGAAAACATATTCGAACCCTGAGCATCTGAACCCACGACTTGCCAAAAGTGCAGTGCTAAATCGACATAATTAAAACAACAGCTAGAAAACTGGCATCAGTTTGCTAAGCGTCATTAGTTCAAATGAACCTCAACGCGAAAAACGGCAGAAGGACCGTGCTTTGTCTTGCGTGGCTCCAACTACAGCACCTACGAAGAATCAGACGACTCAAAAATCCGAGAGAAATTTCCGTTGAAATATCGTACGTCAATGATAAGTCGAGGCTCGTTTGAAAGATAGTAAACAAAAACAAGAGTCAGAATTGGGTTCATGGTGTACTCGCGGTTCGAGGCTTACACAGCATTACTGAACGGGCTGTGCAGAGGAGATACTGTACAATACCCCGCTGTATCCTCGAACTTGACTCGCTGCAGTGTACTGCAATTCATTTCACTGCATACAAGTGGGGCAGAATATCCATCAAGTATGAACGCGCGGTTTTGAAGCTGGAATCAGGAGACAAGCCACGTTGGCGATAATCGGTTGAGAGGGAGACATGATTCATGAGGTTTCGCCAGCTAGCGTGCGACGAAAAGGGAAGGAAGAGCAAGCAGCCTGCCGCGCCCCGGCGTACCGCGGAGGTTTCGGGGACAGGCGCAGCATTAACAAGCCAGGACTTCGCGGCGCAAACTGGATCAATGATACCCCGGCAGCGTCGATAAGCCGAGTTCCCGGAGGCGAGAACAAGGCCAAGGTGAATTCAGAAATGCAACTACGGTATACTCGCCTGGCCGGAGTAGCAGGTTGCGACCGAGGCATAGCCGCGGGCGTGGGAGTCGGGATGGAACTGCTGCACGAAACGCTGCCGGTCAGGCTGGGATCGATGACGCTTGACGTGCTGGCACGGCTCTGCAGCGAGTTCCGACGGAAACCCGTGGTCTTTCCACTGGATCCAGAGAGTAGCGCACCCGGAGTCAACGATAACGACCTCTGAACTATCCGACCTGCAAAGAGACAACAGGAAACGAAGACGCTTAGTCAACAGATCCGGTACCATATTCACGATACTGAACCGGCACGCGATTTTCTGGCCGAAACCTGTTCAGAGAAAAAGACGACCTTTACAAGAATAAGAACAGGAACCGAACTTGGTCCATTAACTTCAAATCCCACCTTTTTTTAGCAGTACAAATTAACATGTTATCAACTAAACTGCGCTTGATTTTTCTTCAATTCCGAACTTCAAAGCAACTATCGGTCAAATATTGTACAGTAGTTCGAATTAAAGCCAACACATATCGGAAACGTTATAACCCTGAATATAGGGAGCATTCTTCAAGTCAGGGTGGCCTAAAAGCCCTGAACAGTTCAAGACAACCCGAAGATCGGCAGCGCCAGCTTTGTAAAAAATAAGTTTGGAAAAATATGGTACATTCACATTTGGTTCGAGAGAGTTCGTTTCCGAACCCATGACCCCGTGACGGCCAATTCGGAAACTTTTTTTAAAACAATTTTTATAGATGCTTTCAACCATTTTCGCGACTAGTTCAAGTATTTCTTTCGACATTTAGCCAGTTCCCGGAGATTCATCACCCAACAGCCGTCAGGATACAATAATCGTCTGGGTTTCCTGCAGAGTAAGTACACTAGAACCCAGACAAACAAGGCCCTGAGATTCGTTCGACGACAGTAAAAGGACCACATTTTGCAATAATGTACAATATTATGCTAACTCACACGGCTTCCTCTCCCTCCGATTGATTAATAATCCAGGACATTTTACTACTTTTTTAAATCCGTCGATTAACGTTTCTCAAGCATGATTATCGGTGACGTACGAATACGCCCGGCCATTGGTTCGAGTCCAAAAAGTTCAATTACGATTCCGAACAGGAAAATAAAATAAATTACAACACAGTATTTCAGATATCGCAAATATCGAGTTCCTAAAAACTGAATCATATCTTCGAATGAATGAATGAATGAATCTGAAACGAATTGATGCGAAATATTGAACGAATTGACGACTTCTTTTTACGACCGATTCCATGATTATCCTGCGCTTAATTTTCCTCCGAATACTGACGAGCAATAAATGAACTAAAGTGTACCGTAAATCGGCGATATAAAAGTAACATAAAGGGACGAAAGAAAAAAAATTGAATCATAAGTCACCTCATCTCCATTTCTGGGCATAGTTTTGGTCAAACTTGCCGCGATTTACCACGACCAGTCAAACGCGATGAAGTGAAATAGAGCAGCCCGAATCAAATCCCAGGAAAGTCATCGATACTGCTCTAAAATAAGGGAGAAAATCCGAGACGAGGAACATGAGCTAAAAGAGCCTTTTCTGTTGTTGTTGTTGAGAACATGACCCCGTGACGAGTGCAGTCAGAAATCCAGCAGTAATCGACATCGACCGAACACAGACACGTTCTCCCCGTGAATTTGTTTCTACACGACATAAATCAAGAAGACGCTCGATCTCGCCAAGGGAAACTTATATCCATTTGCGAGTCTATCCAGAATCGATACCAGGGAACCCTTCAGGAGGCCAATGGGTAACGACGGAGCGGAAGTCGCACGCTTTCAACATCCAGGATCTGCCCTAGCCTCATTCCCGCATTCATCGTTCACAACAGCCTCCCCAGGAAACCGTCACCCATATCAACATCATTGCTTCGCGCCCCACGAACCATTCAA